GTATAAAAAATTACAATATCAATTACAAAATTCGTGTAACCTTATCGACCAATCACATGAAAGTCCTCCTATGATATATAACGTATGACGCAATATTCAAAAGATAATCTTTAAATGGCTGAATCAAACAATCTAAAAGAAATTATATTGTTGAATTTTATAAGGAAATCAGGTTGACAAAAATTTACTCATTGATAGTCCAAATAAATTAAACAGACCTTTACTTCCATATTGGTTAAATTACCAACTATGATTGAAAATCTTTTCCCACGACCTGCGCCAACTCTGATGTTGCAAAGTATAATAGTAATATTTGAATGATATAAAGCTTTCCCTCTTTAGTAATATTTGAATGATATAAAGCTTCCCTATTTTGGTTTTATGAATGCATGTATCGTATAATCGTTTTATTTGAATTTTTTTGATTATGCTTAATGTTAAATCTTAATTTTAAGTTTACATAATAATAATATAACAACATTACTTAATTTTGTGTTTGAAGATTTCCTACGTTTCGAAAATAAACGAATAAATAAAAAACGCGTGATAAACGAATCTAAATGGTGGCCTTTTTTTTTTTCCTAATAACGAGTACGATTAAAGATTAAAAAGTTTTAAATTTTGCCATATAAAAAAGGTTGAGAAGATCTGATATAGGAATTTAACGGACGACTAGTATAAATTGCCTTTTCATGAATCGATAAATCACGATCAGAAACACATTTTTCCAAATTTGCAAATTTTGTCTCTTCTGCGGCATCAAATTGATCAGATAATTCAGATGTATTTGGATCATCACATATGGCGGAAACCCAATCTCCAAAACCTTCGTAAAGTTGATACGCTGTTGGTCTATTTGATGGATTGGCATCTAAGCATTCAAACATTAATTTAGAATAAACAGGTGGAGTTCCTTTTACAACACTTGGTCTTAGTCCAGAGCAGATTTCTTGAACAAGTTGTAAATCATGAGGCCTATCATAATAAGGATGTACACCGGCTGATAACATCCACATTACCATGCCAAAACTGTAAATATCCGATTCTTTTGTTGGCGTTTTTCCATTAAAAATTTCTGGCGCAACAAATGGTATTACTCCATAGATTTGTTTAGACGGGTTATCTACTGGACCGTGCAAACCACTATCCGCGATTCTAGTATCTATTGAATCTGCTTCGTTTTCAACTAATATATTTCCTCCGTGTATATGTCCATGAACGAGACCAGCTTCATGAATAACATTAAGACCAGATGCTAAGGACCATAACATATCTACTACATCCCTCCAGCAAAGAAGCCCAGTAGTCTGTTCAAGATATTCATATAAATCCCCCTGTTCATAATATCTCATAACGAACATATAACATGACGTTGGATCCTTAGTCATACCAAAACAATCAGCCAAAGCGCCATTTTGTAAACATCGGTAATATCTATATAACTTTTTTAGTGAAAATTAAATTATAAACAGAAATAAGTAAATATTGTTGACACGAGGAAGTTTTTTAATCCATTATAATAACTGTAACAATTTTTATAAGTAAATTCCTCATAAGTCCGGGGAGTGAAAAAAATATTTTTCTTTACTCTAAAAAAGAATAAAATAACAAAAATAATAAAAATAATAACCAATCAAAATGATCGATCGATATTCAATATCATGTAATTCGAATATTCTATTTTTTAGGGAGTATATAGTAATTTATTTTATTTTATTTTTTGATTGCTTTACCTTTATTTATTCATATTTATAGACTTTTTTTTTTAGGAAAAGTTATTTATGCCGGCAGAGTGAACCAATAAAAAAATTTTTGACTAATCCCCGGATTTCGAAAGTCATTTCGGATTATCGTACTTTTTTTTCGTGATTCATAGATGTTTTGTATAAACATTTATAAAAATTTTTGTATATTACAAATCTCTTTATTGGTAAAAGGATTACTTTTAAAGCACAAAGGATTGTTTACTTAAAATAAAAGTGATCATTATAAAAAATGAATTTCTCAACAAATGGGAGGTTTGCTATTAAAATCGAGTTACGAAAATAGTAAATCATACGTGATTTTAATAGCTTAACTCCCAAATGTTATAGTTCTAAATTATACCAACGCCATTTCCTGAAATAATTGAAATGAGAAAACTACACATTATAAACGAACTTTTCAGCACTAATTATTGGTGGAAGGTTTTATATCAAACGTATCGTTTTGTTAATAAAAACATTGAACGTATTTGCAATTTTATGGATATCAACAAATTACAAGATATGATGTCGGACATTATCCCGAAGGCCATTTTCCCGAGTGGACGTTTTTCCCGAAAAGTTTGATGATAACTCTACCCGTAGTTTTCGGGAAAACGTCCACTCGGGAAAACGGCCTTCGGGATAACGCACTGTAACCGATTTGAATACGTCCAATTCTTATTATAGGCCTGCATAAGCCGAAAATAAGTGTCTTGCGTCGAATTAATTTGCAATTAAAAGAATTTCAAAGATATTTTCTTGGCATTAATTTTTATACACGGAATGGTACAGAATAAACAAATTATAGTAAGTGATTATCACAAAATGATGTCATTTATTTATTTATTTATATATTGGTCCCTTATTTAAATGACAAATGAACTTAAAAGGGGTTTTCTTCAAAGTAGACTGACATATCTCTTATTTTGATTTATAGATCAAAAATTATTAAACGTGAGGAAGAAATTTTACATACCGACATTAATTTATATTATATAATTATTCAGTTTCACAATGAATCAATAAACAAAAGACTATTGCAAACTTATATAAACGAGAAAAAAATTGATAAAAAAAAAATTTATTTTTACAGCAAATTTCAAACGGATCATATGATTTACAATCAAATTTACTTTGTGAAAATTTAAAATAAATTCACGTTTATTCACAATACTACTTTATTTGGGAAGATTGCTAGGAAATCTAATATTAAGA